TTGTTCATCACTACGTATAAACAGTTCAAATACATATACATTAAAATAAATATATTAACTTAGTTCCACATATATTGTAGTGTTTTAAAAATTTAACAAAACTCCTTAAGCTTTTATAGAGTGTTATATAGAGTGCTATATAGAGTATTATATAGAGTGTTATAGCGAGCTTCTATAACGTGTTTTAAAAATTTTAAAACACTCTGCAAGTTTCTGTTTTAATTTCCGACCATTGTAGAAATCTTTTGCAGAAAGTGATGCAATCGACATCTTTTCATATGGAAAAATGCTGAAAATGAATTAATTAATTTTTTAAACAATTTCGTATGACATTATTTTTTATGCTATGAAAGTGATAATTTAATGAAAATTAATGTTTTTTTTTAAAATATTCAGTCGCATTTGCGAGTTTATTTTCTTTTAAGAGAAGTACGTTACTTAAATAAATATTCCACTTTCTGCCATTATTTAAAGCTTGGGACTCAGAAGGATATATTGCTGTTGAATAATTTATAAACGAAACAATACTGCCTTTTATTCAAAATTATTATTTAAAAGTGAGAAATAAATAAGTACATTTTTGAGAATAAACTTCAATAATAGGCTATTTTTTAGAATAGTTTTCTTTGAATTTTATGTCTTTGTTATTGAATAAATAAGACATATTTTAGCATTTTTTGCTTTTTGCTTTGTTTTGAGATTTGATAAAAGATTCAAAAGCTCGCTTAGTGTAAAATACGAAAATCTTCTTTATTTATTCTTGGCTTATTCTCATGTTAAAAGAATAAAATTAAAAACAAAAATAAATAAAAAAAATAATAAATAAAAAAGCACATTGTTGAAATTACTAGAATAAATCTAAAAATCGTTTTAAAAGTTTTGATTTGGGTCGAATATGAATATCTGAAGTTTATACCACCTTATAAGGTGAGCTTTAGCCGCATTTTGTATTTACTGGGAAGATAAGATCAAAAGGTGTTAAACACTGCAATCCAGACAAGTGAGGTATTGTTTACGATGCAGTTTTTACGCTGACTCGAATAAGACCAAACACAAGGCTATAGAGTTAAGAATTTCTGAAGTTATGAGTATTTTATGCATACACTTTTAAATGTGCTTATTTACGTTTCCTATATTGCTATCTAGATAAGTTAGGTATAGTTTCCTATGGATTTTCGAATAAAATGGGATAAAATTGAAGCTAACCGAAATATTAGCTTGTAAATTAAGAGGTCTTTAGGAATAAGAAAAATAAAATCTTTGATTTATATCCTTTATGCAAAAACCTGACAACTTTATGCAAACCTGATAACTTTATGCAAACCTGATAACTTATGCAAAAACTTGATAACTAATCATTTTATTAGGATTTCATTAGAATGAGAGTTAAAAAATGCTCAAAAACAATGTTTCAGTTATATTTTATATTTTATAACCGTCGTTGAACGGCCGACTCAATTTTATGAGTTATACGACTACTAATGTTCAATTCTTTAGCCTTCTAATTTTGAACCGAAACCAGAAGACAAGGGAACTCCTGGATCGAGTATTGGGAGAAATTTGCCTTCGTGGAGGACTTTTTAATGGAGCTTACCCGCATTTGCGTTACATGGAGAGAAAGACCATGAGAACCTCCCACGGTTAGCCAGACGGTGAGGGGACTCTAGCCCATTATCCGTCTACCACTGCGGATATTTCATGTCAGCGCTGTGGTCGGTGCAAGCCGGATGCAGAATAAATATCGACTGGGATTCGAGCCAGGTTCGCCTCATTGGAAGGCGAATGCTCAATCCCCTGAGTCATAGTGGTTCATGTCTCAGTTACATAGCAATGTCAGACGTGAAAATAGTTATAAGTAAAAAAAGGTAATACAATATAATTTTTATAACTCTAATAGCTCCTAACTATTGGATCTATCGACTAGATTAAATTCAATTCAAAGTAAGATAGAACATCAAAAATGATATCTCTCTTCTTTAGATATCAAAATCTAAGTTCAGTCAACCATATTAAGTTTTATTAACCATTTATTAAGTAACCATAATTTTTAAAACTGTTTCCGTATTCATATTTTACTTCCTCTGAGCTGGTCTATTTAAAAATACTAGCTCAAAAAAAAAAGATTCATGAATTTATTAATGAAGTTGGAAAAAAGTGAAACATTTCCGCAACAGTCCGTCGAGGGCCAGGCTATCAAAAAAAGCTAAGGATCAACAATTTCGTGACCATACCCAAATGATGTTGACAATGTGGTCAGCATTGCGTACCATCTGCCCTTACTTACCAGAAAAACCAGCTTATGAATAAAGTTGTGAGTGTTTAGAATTTGGGCTTAAAGATGAATTATTAATACTACCCTGAAATTAGATGAATTCGTGAAATTAAAAGTAGAATGAAATAATGCTACAAACAACATATGTATGCTACATCAAAAGTGTTTTATTGTGCTTCAAATTTATATGCATTTGCTTAAAGTAATTAATATTGCAAAAACACAGATATACGTTTTATTAACAGTAAACTTAACTTAATTATTATTTAATATTGCATCAAATATGAAGTAATGAATATCGCAAAAACATTGGTATTCTTTATCAGTTGTATCTCATTTCATTGTACTTTAATTATTCCATTAAATTTGAAGTAATAAATATTACAAAAAACATAGATATTCTTTATTAACAGTATTTTGTTTTATTGTGCTTTAATATTTCATCAAGTTTGAAGTAATAATCATTATAAAAAGCATAGATATTCTTTATTAACAGTATTTTATTTTATTGTGCTTTAATATTTCATCAAGTTTGAAGTAATAATCATTATAAAAAGCATAGATATTCTTTATCAATAATATTTCACTTTATTGTGCTTTATTATTTCATCAAATTTGAAGTAATAAATACTACAAAAAGCATAGATATTCTTTATTAATAGTATTTCATTTCTTGAGATTTAATATTTCACTAAATTTGAAGTAATAAATATTACAAAAAGCATAGATATTCTTTATTAACAATATTTTATTTTATTGTGATTTATTATTTCATCAAATTTGAAGTGATGAATATTGGAAAAACATAGATATTCTTTATTAATAGTATTTCACTTTATTGTGCTTTCATATTTCATTAAATTTCAAATAATAAATATTGCAAAAGAAGAAAAAAAAAGACTGATATACTTTATTTCAGAAGCTCTCAATCTCCATTCTGCGAAACACTTGGTGCTCTGCCAAACATTTCGCAGTTTTTTCCCGGAAAAGTAAGATACGTTAAAAAAATGAAGTTAATGAAAAGAATAATATGAAATTTAAAAAAAAAATACTGTGCTATTTCTTTGAATATTATTAGAATCAAGTAAAAATTGGTTATAGTCGTTCAGTTGCAGCTTTGTCTGTGAAATTGAAGAAAATGAAATCACTTTCAGGTTCTTTATTTAACAAAGCAAATTCATATCAAAAGTCAATCCAACCAGAATATCAGCTAAATATAATCCAATTATGAAGATCAAATTAACATCGTCCTTCATCGAAAATTTTGTTTAACGCAACCAAGTAAAAATTAGCAGCATATGTTAAGTATCAGAAAATAAAGTATCAACTTGTGGATGATTTCTGCACTATTTATTGTGGATTTTTTTTTTCGCGTATGACTTTAGCGTCATTAATTTGAAACTAGTCCAAATTACAAGCTTTTTAAGCCGAGAAATCTATTGTTCTACAAGTTTAAATGACGAAAAGATTTTTCATAGTTAGAGCTATTTTGTCAATCAACTTACTAAATACAATAAGTAGCTGTGAGACAAAGTTAAAGGTTCTTCTTCTTGCAGAAAAAGGAAATTGCTTTCTCCATGTTAACCTATGGAAAATAATAAGTACGGAATTTCCTTTTTCATTCAGTAATTATTATGTTTGAATAATTTTTGTAACATTTGAACAATTCAACAACAATTTGTAACAATTCAATTGATCTTAGCTAAATCTTTGACAGAGAATTTTTATTAAACAAAGTTATCATATTTTTTTTCAGTATTTTGTGTTAATTAAGATCAAAATAAGTGAAAAATATTATAAACTTTTTTATAAATTATGCTTATGAAATACTGCTTGAAACACTGGTATCTTTTTCTGCGGTAAAGGTGAAATCTTTCAAACACGAATCGCTTCAAAACAGTAATTTTTCAAATTTATACTTATTTTTTATTATTTAGATCTAAGAGAGAAAAAATATTTCATCATTGAAATTTCTTTAATTCAAAGAATCTTTATTGATAAGTTTTCGAACATGAGTGAAAAAAACTTTTTTCAAATTACGTTTTTTGGATTTTATATTTTAATATAAATATAATTCTGATTACTTAACAAATTTTTAGTAAGTATTAGCCTGCTTTTTTGTAATTAAAAAGTAGCAAAAAAATATTTTTGCTTGTAGTTAGAACATCAGAAAAATATATATAAAAAAGGACACCATTGTATTATTTTTCGTCAAAGCGTTAACGAATTATTTCCAATAAATATTTTTAAAACTTGAATTTTGAAAGAATTTATACTTTGAAAGGTTACGAAAATATTTTAGAAACTTGAACTTTGATTGACTTTAAACAGGTTTTAAAAATACCTAAAATATTAAAATTAAAAATATGATAACTATGATCAATTGAATAAATTTGAATGAATAAAATGAAACAAATATTGTTTAAAAATATTAATTGGCTAGGAAATAAGTAAGAGCATACCATAGGTATGTTTATATGGAGGAAGTAATCTCGTCTTTTAATGCTCCGCGAATTTTCAATTTCAAAAATACTCCGTGATTGATAAAGTTTGAGAACTTCTCATTTATTTCCTTTTTTTGTGCTCTAATATTACCTACATTAGTTAAATAATTTTAAATGATGGAAAAAACATAGATATGCTTACGTAAACAGGCTCATTCTATTATACTTTAATACAGCATATAATAATTTAATGTAGCAAATGTTGTAACTAATATAGATATGTATTAATGGTGATTCATTTTATTGTGCTTTAATACAGCATATAATAATTTAATGTAGCAAATGTTGCAAATAATATAGATATGTATTAATGGTGATTCATTTTATTGTGCTTTAGTACAAAATCTATTAATGGGAAGTTTTTTTTTTGATTAACTTGGATTGCATTGGAGGTGCGATGATTTCTACGCTAGGTGCATTTCAATTCTTGGAGAGCTTGAGAGTTTTAATTCTGCCCATCTACCTTCTCTTCCAAAGCTTTAATGTTGTCTGTGAAGCCTTTTAAAATATCAAATGCATCTCGTTCAGGGATACGATAGTCAACAAAAGGAACAGGCTCCCGAGCTCTTAAGATTTGTTGCCACAGCAATGGCAACGGGACAGAGCCCGCACTACTACGTTTTCCATGTCCTGAAACAAAAATAAACAGCATTTAAGAAGCAAACAAACATAGATTTCATTTTATTTCATAACAGTCGTTGAACAACCGACCCAAATTTGGGTTTACGATTATCAATGTTCAACTACGTAGCCTTGTAGTTTTGAACCCAATCCAGAAGACAAGGGATCTCCTGGATCGAGTACTGGGAGCCTTCGTGAAGGATTTTTTGATGGAGCTAACCTGCATTTGCGTTACATGGAGAAGAAGACCACGAGAACCCCCCACGGTTTGCCTGACGGCAAGGGAACTCTACCCCATGATCCGTCTACCACTCAGGATGTTTCACATCAGCATTGTGGTCGGTGCAAGTCGGAGGTGGAATTCGTATCGACTGGGATTCGAACCCTGTTCGCCGCAATGGAAGGTGAGCGCTCTATCCTCAGAACCATCGCGGCTCAACAAACTTAGAATTTAAAATGGACTTGACGGGGAAAAATCTAGTTTTGCAATTTTTTTTTGTAGACAATATTGGTTAAATGACTCATCCAATTTTATATGACTGTTTATTTAAAGCAGACGACGGATGACGTAAAGTGCGAAAAAATAAATGAAAAACTCAGATTAACTTTTGATCTAATGATCGGTTTTTTATGTACTTAGACTCAACCTTAATGAATCAAGAACCTAACCTTAAATACAATGTAAGAAGTATCGACACTTTCAGTGCATCATCCGTAAAATCAATTTTACCTTCAAGTCCCTCTCTACCGTAAAATATTATACTGTAATTTTTACAGGGATATTTATTAATTTGGTGTGATTCTGTTATTTTACATTGATGATTATTGTAAAAACTACAGTACGTCAAATTTTTGTTCGGTCTCATTTTCCACTAAAAATGGATTTTACCGTAAAAAGTGCAGTAAAATTTGATCAGGAATATTATCAGGAATTATGGTAAAATTACGGTACGGTGAATATTTTTTTATCTGATCAGGAATTACTTTTCGGTATCTCCGTAATAAATGACGTAAATCAAAATTTTGTATGCACTATTATTAAATTGTTTATCCAAAAATAATTCAATTTAAAAATTATTTTTCATAATAATTTATTATTTTTTATTATTTAATTTACTAATGGTTAAAAAAAACTGAATAGTTAGGTTTAAAAATATTTTACACCTATTTAATACGCATATTTTTAAATGATAAAATCCAATAATATTCGAATTATAATGAATAAATTCGAATAATATAATAAAGATGAAGATTACAGAACAACCTATGTACAGGATGATGACTACCTTTAATATATAGCTCTAGAATCCTTGTTAAATATAAAATAACAAAAATATGCAACATACACAATTGATATTTAAGCCGTGAATGCCTTTGAAATATAACAAGGAATGTGGGTTGAAAATATCACAACATGGTTGAAACCCGGAAGAAAAAGAAAGGAGTTAATAGACATACTTAGATATACCTCTAAGACTTACTGGGTAATTAAACTGGTTTTTATGTTTTCCCCTCCCACCTGTCTCACTAGTGTTTCGAGAAATTTCGGTAGCATTTTTGTTTCTTCTATACTTAAAGATTAATTTGTGACTCTAAAGTGTACACTTTTTTGACATGTATTACAAGTTTACAAGTATATTAAAAATATGCTATATGGTGATTGTCAGATCAATAATATGGTGATAGTCAGAAACCATTACAGTTCATTTAATTTTTATTTAATATTTTTTGTTCAATTTTTTATTGCTAATTTTTTTGTTTGACTAATATTTTAATTTAGAAATTCAATTAATGTATGGAGAACATTTTTGTGGATTTAACAAAAAAATTCATACTACTTCAAATATGAATTAAATTTTAAACTATGATCAATTTATTGAAGTTTTATTTGTTTCAATTATTATTATGAATTAACTCGAAAGACGTTATTTAATCCTACTGTCCTTTAATTACATTATGAGCTCTCATTAAAAAGTGCTTAACATCCCTTTTGACAGAAGGAGACGAGATTTAAGAGCAAAATTATTTCACTCCTTATGAACATTAATACTTTAGTAATTACCTACATTATATTACGAGTTTTTATGAGCTATATTGAAGTAAATCAGCGTAGTAGGCTTAATAGGCTTAGCAAATTAAGAAGTAGTAGTAAATAACAGGATGGCAGGCAGACAATCATGATTTTCCACTTGAGGGGAAATAATAATTATAAATTGATATTAATGATATCCTTCTTTCATCACGGCATTATTCATTTTGAATTATCATGTTTTACTATCTTTTTGTTTCATTATTTTTGTGAACAATCATCTCCTCAAATCATTGAAATTACATAATTATCCAAATTATGAGGAATAAATAGATTATTATATTAAATTACGTTTGATGAATAGCTTTCAATACATTCAAACATTTCAATAACATTATTTTAAACTCGAAACAATTACGTGAATTTAAAATTTCTGAAACAAAAATAAAACAATAATGAATTAAAAGTATGAATTAATCTTCTTAAAAATAGTCTTTTTTCTGATAAAATTTTTTATATTCCGTGAAATATTGAATAATAATTGGATGAGCTAATATTATTAATAATTATATCCTAACAATGAAAAAGAAAATATTAAAATTCAAATATGAAATATTCAGTGTATTCCGTAAGTACAACCATTAAATACACACTCAAAATCCTTGAAATATGAATGAAAACACATTAGGTATCGCAAATTAATATGTGAATAAAACAAAAACGCAATCAAAATCTTTCAAATCATTCGTGAGGAAGTCGGAATTAAAAGCATCAAATCCAGTTCAATTGCAGGATAAAATTTTAGTGTGCTTCTAAGAATTACTTATCAACTTTCTTTTCCCTTCCTTCGGCAATCAAACATGTTTTGATATTTTCAATATAGCCTTCTATAATAGAGATTCATTAGATTTCGAAAGAATTTTGCCTTTTACTCGTGCTTTATATTAGTTTGTGTTCACTAATTGTGTATATACTTTTGTTTGTAAAGGATTTCGAAATTATATATTAGAAGTGATCACTACAGAACACCCATGTACCAAAAATATGATAAACTTAATAATTTCGTATTGCAATACTTTTTATTAAGTGGATTTCTTATTGAAATAATGTTCACATAGTATTATTGAAAAACGCACTATACACATTACAGCATGAAGAAAGCCTCTGGTTCAAAATGCATATCTTGACTAATGTAGAAGTTTTAAACTGAACACATTACAAGACTAATATAGAACTAGTAAACTGAAAAATATTTATCTCGCTGGAAACATATATTTCACCGAAAAATATTCTTTCTAGTAAAAATCTCACTAAATTGATTAAAAGTAGCGGATAACATAAAAGCTAATTTTAAATGTTAATTTTTTTGCAGTCATTCGATGATGGATTGTTAATGCTTATTTTCAGCACAAAGTTTAATTCTATATAAATAATAATATAAAAATACAAACCCATAGAAATAAACTTGAAAGTCAACTAAACATGAAAGAAAATTCGTGTAAAAAAAACTTAGAATTATGTATTTTAAAAAAGGTGATCAAATCGAAATATTTCCACTCAGAGAAAATTTTACTTCATCAACGAATGCATTTTGCTTAAAATTGAGTAAACGCTGTTTTGATTTTGAATCGATGGGGTTTTCAAATTCGATTATTATTTGTTTCGGTGTTATTTTTGCACATTTTTAGTTTCCGGTTTTAAAGTAATAGCATACAGAGAGGGGATAGAAGTGACTACTAATAAATATATATTTACTTTTAAGCTGACTTTTAGTCTGAAAATGTATCAAACTTTACCTGCATGTAAAGGATAAAGAGTCATATATAAACTATTCATTCCTATTTTATGTAATATGGTGACCTTCTGGAGAAAAATTTAATAATATTTATAGTAAGGAGCAGTAGTAACAAGCAAACTATAAGACAACAATTTTATGATGGATTGCGAAAATAAAACGAAAGGCTATAGGACAGAAAAAGAATACATTTCTAATAACCTGAATATTTAGTAACAGACAAAAAACAACAACAACAACAACACGTAAAATGTTTATTTAACATGCTCTGTAATTACATTCAAGACTTACCTAAATAGAGACAGAAGTGGCAAAGGAACAATAAACAGAAGTGACATTTTACATATTTAAATGGAGTTGTTAGTCAAAAAATTTATGATATAATAATTTGGATGACTTTAATAGTTTTTAAGAAGGAAAAACTCTTTGTACAAAAATAAATTGGATACAAAAGTCGAACTTTCTTGAGAATAACCCATAATAAGTTATAATAAGTTATACACTGTTAGAATTTTCATCCTAAACTTACGGTAAAATAACCAGCAGCTGCCTGTTTATCCGATTGATTACCCGTAAAGTTTACGGTTAAGAAAAGTTATTTACCTTTACGGTTTTGATACCGTTTACAATAGGTATGGTTGAAAAGCCGTGAAAACAACATTGCATGGTTTTGTAACCATTTACAACTAGCATGATTTCAAAACCATAAAAATGAAATTTAACTGGACATTGGAGTTTGGTTGCGGTTCAGTCTAGTTAAATGAACCGAAGAAGGTGGCTTACTTAGTTTATCTGACGGTGTCCTCAAGCGTAAGATATTGCTACTAGAATTTTTTGTATTCATATTGTACAACTCTGTGGTGTTGCCATATATGCGTGAAAGTAAGTATCATATTCCAATAGGCCAGAGTCACCAGTCAATACTGGGATTCGAATCCCCGTTCAGCTGATCATTAGACTGACAAGTTAACCTTATTGGCTAACGTATGTACACAGCAGCAAAGAACTAAGTGGCCGCACAAGGTGTTCACACACTTATAATAAGATTATTTGGCATCCGACGATGCAAAATAAGAATATGAATTAGTAATCGTTACTGCATGATTCAGCTTCCAGTTCTCAAAGAAAGTTAGTCTGATTCTCATAGGCGTAGAGTCAAGTTTGCGCGAGTGAAACTCTATTTCTGAAACCGTATTAGGTGATAATAGTCAATAAGCGATTTTTCTCACTGTTTATAGATTGGCAACCATTGTTTTTACGGTTACTTGACTGTTTTGATTGAATATGGTAAAATAACGATTAAATAAATTGTTATTTCATAATTTTTTCTGAGAAATTTCTAACAGTGTATCTCTTTTGCAATTGTTAATAATAAGATGAATAACTCTTACTTACCTCCCAAGCAAGAATGACCATAGCTTTGGCAGCTGCCTTTATTAATAAGGAGAAAAAAAGAAAAGTGTTAATTTCTATAGAAGTAAATTCCAAGTTGGTAAAAATATAAATAGAGACTGGAATAGGGAAACAAAAAAAAATTCGAAGTAACGAAATTTATGCGATATAAAAATAAAAATATTTTTTTTTTTGACAAATTTCATTTGCACCAATAAACAAGAAAAAATGTATTTCAAGTGATCACATACAGTAGGCTACTAATACTTTTATAAAAAATTGTGACATACTGTCACTTAAAGTCTTTAATCCTTTGTTTACGGTGAACCATTTGTACCATTACACGTGGTCCACATGTTGCACCAGCCGTAAGTAAAAGGTTAATATATAATCGGAAAAATATGTTACATCAAGTAATCAGGAGTTGGAATAACTGAACGGAGAAAAAGAATTTTGGTAAAATTACTATACTGTATCGTAATAACATTTCTGATTAAAAAAACCCCCCAATAATTCTGGTTAATAAAACCAAAGTATTCCGTATTTAAGTATTCATTTGGAAATTTTTCATTTCATATGGTAATTGCTTACAAGAAATTGTGGGTTATAAAATTTTATATCTTCTTACCATCCATTTTGTAAAAAACACGAAGCTGATAAATAAATTTAACCAAACAAGTGGTTTTTATGCTACCATAATAAAATTAGCAAATTTTACCACATCTGCCAAATTTTGTCACGTATCATAAAACCATATTTTATTCTAATTTCATCAAAATCAAACCAAATCGTATCCGTAAAAATTACCGAATTCTTTGGTTTTCCCATAGAGCCGGAAACACGGTAAACTTTACCATATTCTGGTATTTCAGACTTTAGTACGAGTAACATCCCGCTTGGCAGAATTAAGCTAAATGTAATTGATTGTATTAATCAATCTCCCTTAAATTAAGTTTAGATGGTTACTTTTGATAAGGAATACAGTTGTAATTAATAACACTAAGAAACAATTCTTTTTTGCTTTCTGCTGCATAATATTTTCTTAACAAGTTTTGGATTTTTTCTCTTCGTTGATTTCAAGTATGCAATCGGTTTCTTTCTCCACGCTACAGATGTTTAAAAAATGATATTTTTAGTCAATTTTTGGCAGAAATGTATCAGTTTAAAAACGTTTTATATGGCAGAGGGTAGCATAAATGTTGCTACAAACTTCTAAGGGAGTTGAGGCTCATCATCAGTATTAAAATTGCGCAAGAACCCATGTCCGGAAATATCGTCATACGCTGCTAGGGGCGTTTTCCTATTATGAGTTGTTTCCTTGTGTGCTTCTGAACAGGTCATAATGGACCCTTAGCCGGTACGACGACATGGGTTCCTAAGAATGATGATGTGTCCTAACTCCATTCGAAGTTTGCCGTAGTTATGCGACCGACTCCTTGTTACATATAACGTTTTTATACTTGTACATTTCTTCAAAAAATAGACTAAAATGTCATTTGTCAAATGCAGCTTTAGCAGTGAAACCAATTTCAGATTTGAAATCCCCACACCTGAATTAGGCAATATCAAGTATTTGTATAAATGCAACAAAAAATTTATTCCCCAGTGTAATAAATGTAATCATAAAATTGTAATTAAAATTTTGAGATAATAAATTATGATTGCATGATTAAAAACATAATCGGTATTTATGACTACCTGCGATAAGGTATACTTTCTACAACTCAGCCGCATGCAAGGAAGAAAAAACATTTATCGAAAATTGAATTAGTACTAATAAAAGTTAAAAATTAAAAGGAAAGGAATGATTGTAAAATAACAGTTTCAGAGTTGGGTTTAAAAATTTTTCTAAACATTTAAGGATTTTTAAAATAATTTTGAAAATTAATACCATTTGTTCTCATTAACTTGTTTAAAATTTATATTTGTTGAATTAAAACGCAAAATTATGCTTGGTTTTGTATTTTCCACGTTTTGAACTTCCGGTATAGCTGAGATTTTGAATACTTTTTTTCAATAGTCAATTTTCTCAAATTTTTTAAACTTGAAATGGATATTTTTCACAAGCTGAAGAGATAACTAAATATAATTTGGAATATGTATAATTTATATACATTATATATACTTTGTCTTCAAGAAATTGAAAATTTTATTTCAAATTTCGATATATAATTTTTTTAAATATATTGAAAATCTGCAATTTTAAAATTAGTTCATTTTTAAAAAATTTAAAATGATAGTAGCAAAAAATGAAGACAAATTTAATTTTGTACAATCTTAATAAAAATTGATAGAGATTGGTAATATTAATGCATAAGCCTTACAGAAATTTAAGGTATTTTTGAGGTTGTTTTGAGGTTTATTTGAAGTTAATTTCAAAAACAACCTTAAAATATCAACCTATTAAGGTACAATTAAGGTGTATGAAGTTGATTTACTCACACTTGAGGTTGTTTTGAGATTGATGAAAATCTTCTTCAGAACAACCATCTTAGGGAGGTTGTTTTTGAGGTGCACGAATTATTTTTCTACACTTCAAGCAAATAATTATATTTGAGGTGTGAATAATTTCACCAGATCTGAATTAAAATTATTTGTGAATTATATATGAGGTTGATTTTCTGAGGTAAAAATGAGGCTGAAATTGAAGTTTATTGAGGTTATATTTGGTGCAAAATATAACCTCATTTTCTACCTCAGGTAAATTATTTTACATCTGTTAACCTCAAAATACCATCAAAAACATCTTACTTTTTTGTAAGGGAATATTTTAAATTATAAAAAAAATTTAAAACATCAGAGTTTTAAAATTTTAAAATTTTGACTTAAGCTTGTATACGGTTTGCTAACACTAAACGATACCAAAGTACAAAAAAAAAATAATGTATACATTTTTAAAAAATTATCCAATAACCATTAAAAACACGTGAAATATTTTATATAACGGAAATGCAAACTACAGATCTGAAACTATATATCATTAAAATTTGAATTTAGAAATGGCACGCATTTGATCTTTTTTATAAAAAAAATGATCGGAGACTTATAAGTATGTTTGATGTTTGTAAACCCTTTGTATAATTTCTAGGAAATCATTATTTTAGATGATCTCATTCAACGGTAAATATTCGTGACGCATGATTTTCCGGTTTGCAGTTACGCATAGAACAAAAAAAAGTCTCACTTTTTCTTTCACTTGGAAATAGATTTCTTGGAACTGATATAAATATAGATGATTAAATTTTTGAGAAATAGTCCTATTTATATCAGATGGACTACCTATTTGTGCGATTTTCTCACAATTACAGGAATTCCAGACTGTGCGGAAGCTTTTGGAATTGAATTGTATTTTTTTTCTTCTAACCTTTATTCATGATTATGATTCATAATATTGAGGATTTTTGTTTTTCGATTTTCGTAAAAAAATAAAAGTTGTTGATAACGAATCAAAGAATAATATAGACAATTATTATGATTTATTTTATTCTTTTCAAATAGATAATTCCTTTTTATTTTTCAAACTTGCAACTTTTTGATAAGTTCAGCAAATATATGGTTTATAATTGATAATTTCAACAAATAAATACAAATGGTTTGATTAATTTTAACAGCAATATTGAAGCTACACTGAGAAAAAATTCTGGTAAAATTATCGAATTGTATGATAATTACATTTCTTTATAAAAACCATAATTCTAGTAAATAAAACCAAAATATATGATAATTAAGCTATTCATTTAGTAACTTTTCCGTCCATATGGTAACGGTTTACCGGAAATTTTGGTTCCTTTTACGATAAATATTCATGATATGTTTGATAAAAATATATAACTGAACAGTAAATTTAGCCGAATAAATAGTTTTTCTGCACTGCTGTAAGATATCATTATAAAATTACCGAATTTCACCACATTTACCAAATTTTATCGCATATTATAAAACCATATTTAACAATTAATTTAATCAAAATCATTACCAAAGCGTGTAGGTAAAAATTATTGAGCTTATTGGTATTCCCATAGAGTCAGAAACACGGTAATTTCCCACATATTTTGGTAGTTTAGACTATACTTTTTTTCTCAGTGTGTGATTGCAACAATAGGCTAATTCACAATTTGCTTCAAGACACTATACAGCTAGATATCTAAATGTATATTCTTTAATTAATTAGTTAATAATTCAAATATTTATTTAAGATTTTAATATAACCAGTTAAATTTAAAATATAATGTCTTAACTGATTTTGTTCAACGGTAATTAAAATTTCGATGTTTATATATTTTTTATTTTTTGAAAACTATTTAAAAGATTTCTTTCACATTTTGGTCATATAGTAAATCAACATTACATAATTCTAAATAACTTTTTGTACTTTACAAATTAAAAATTTTGTGATCAATATTAAATTTAATAATAAAAAGTAATAAATAATTCACAAAAATGCTTTTGTTTAAAATTATTATTGCATAAATTAATTTTTAATTGTATGCAAAATTTTTAATCAGTTTTAGTCGATACCGTTTATTTAATTTTTGTTATTTAATTAATGTTTAATTTAATTTTTAATCAATTAGAGATCCAAAGTCGATACCGTTCTTTACTAACTATGAGGACTGAACATTCTAAATTGTGTGCAAGAAATCTGAATTAATTGTTATTGTTGTTGTGGTCGTCTGCCATTAAGCAGAGGGGGTGAGATTGCTCTAATTTTCCAGTAACGTCATTTATGGCTAAGAATTAAACTTCTGCCATACCCATACGTCACACCCATTTATAGGGCATACCCATTCATACAGTCAATCATTCATCCACAGATCGTAATTTTGACCTGAACCAGAGAACGAGAAATCTCTAATTCAGTAGCCCCAGAGGTATTGATTTGTTTTGGAAACATGGAGGACTTTGTGAAGCGACAGATTTAAAGTGCACCAGTCGCCATTTGCTACACGGGGAGTTTTATCTGAATTAATTGATAAAAGGATATGCCTTTTCATATAAAGTGTGTCTGATTTCGTAACTTAAAATATCGAATGCACACT